TTGTGACGTTTTAAAAACGCCGTGATATTAGTATAGGCGGCATTTTAAAAAACGTCGCCAAATGTCCTACAATATACCCGCTGACGTCACCAACGATATTTAGCGACGTTTTCGAAACGCTGTCGTATCTGTTTTAAAAAATATGACCGTTAGTATTTTAGCGATGTTTTGGAAACGCCGTCGTATCTGTTTTAAACAATATGACCGTTGGTATTTAGGGTTTAGGAGACGTTTGTAGAAACGCCGTCATATCCCTTTTTTTTTTTAAATTGTGCTAATTTTGTTTGATTGAATTAAAAAAAATACCTGTAATAAAACTAACATATAAAATATTAACTCCCATTCAAATACCTGTAATAAAACTAACATATAAAATAATAACTCCCATTCAAATAACAAATGAAGCATTAATTCAGTTTCTCATTCAATTAATATCCAATCACCATTACCTACAAAATAACCTATCCAAAATCCAAAAATCATGTTTTAACATTTACCACAAACTAACATATATCCAAAAATCATGTTTTAGCATAAAAACTGTAGTCATCACTGGTCTACATGCCTACATCAGAACATAAACTACAATCAGATTCACCAAAATAAACACAAATTGAAGAATTTGTACCCAATACTTATAAACAGTACTTAAAACTTGAAGAAGCACTAACAAGAAGATTTTATCACATACCAAGAAGCACTACAATTCCAAGAATATAAATGCAAAGAAGCACTATGGCTATGCCTCAGGGATGAAGATTTTAATCATTAGAAAATTATACTGTCCTACTTGATACTTCTTTCTGCTAATTATGTCAGACAAATGAAATACCAGCAATCATAAAACCAGTATAATATCTAGCTTTTTAGCACCTAAACAGATAGAAATGCATGCCCACATTATATCTTATATTACATAATACACAGTGTTCCATGCACATGGACATTGAAGACAATAACTGACAAAGAAAACCTATGCAGGGAAGCTCCAAGAAACTAACACCAGTAAAACCATAAGCTTTTTAATTGAAGCAATTATCTCAAAATGTACCACTGTTTATTCCAATAGTCAATTAACAGAAGCAGCTACAAAAATAAACTATAAGCTTTTTAAGCTTCTTGGGAATAATTCACACATTAATATATATGTATATATATTCATAAATTTCACAATTTTAGATGCCAATCCCCATAATTGGAACCCCAATTATCCATTCCAGCAACCATATTTCTCAGGAAACAAACAGCACAAAACTTTTTTGATTAAACAACAAGAAGAAAAATGATTCGAACAAATATTTGATCACCATACAATCCAAATTCCACAACCAAATAAAAAAAACCTAATTCCATACTAGAACCCCAAATTTTCACCATATATTGAAATATATACTGATCTTTATATGCATATTGTATGTGATTGGTATCGGGAGAGAAGGATTACTTAGTTACAGAGTCAAATCGAAACAACGGAATCAAAGCGTGTTGGTCGCGATCATAGAAAGAGCTGAGAAACAGAGTTGACTCGGGCGCGTTGTTCTGTGTAGTATTCAGTGCAATTTCATTGCTCTGTGTTAGGTAGGCTTCGGTGGTATTGGAATAAAAAATGATAAATTAGAGGCTGCGATATATTACCAAGGCCATGTTTGGGAAAACCGAATTAAATAGGTTTATCCTTTTTATGATTGGTAGTTTTAGAATTATCTATTCTTTTATTTGTTGAATTGACTCACTATTAAACATTAAGCAAACATCATGTCTTAATAGATTTAGAAAAGTGAGAAATTAAAAACTGGTGATGTTAGTACTTTTACCATGTTAATTATTTTTCTTCTTCTTATTCTTCTTCTTCTCTTTCTTTGAAAGGTGAACCTATATTTAATAAGAGCAAGTATTGTAATTAATAAGATATGGTATTTGTCAAAAAAAACTTTGATTAAATGATTGCTCACCTCTTGAGATGAAAATGCATGAGATTGTTGTTGATGTGACATTGGCTGAACAGTGGGACGACTACTAAGTGAATCCACAACCTATCATTCAATTAGAGGCTTAAGTTGTATATTAGCTCTAGGCAATTTAAAGTAATAACTAGTAAAAATAATTAAAATACCTGCTGCCTATGTAATGGGTTTGAGGGTACAACAACTGGATCAACGGCCACGCCTGCAGCTTGCAATTGAGATTCCAAAAACTGAATTCGTGACTGAAAATCTATGCGTATAGACTGAATTTGTTTCTCCATTACGTCATTCATCTTCGACTCGAACTACATTTGATACCGTTGAAGTTGCTCTTGAACTTGTTCCTGAACTTGAGTTTGGAAGATACGATTCTGCTCTTGTGACCACCTATATCCGCCTCCAAAAACATCAGTAGGGGACGGTCCCAATCCAAACGTCTGAACATGGCCAGGTCGCTTTGGGCCCATAACTTGTGTGAAGATTTGCTCCTATAATGCTGCAGGGTCAGTAGAAGATCCTTCCATGTGCTCCGTTAACTCATTCATTTGAGTCTGCAAGTTTGAATTCAATAATTAGCCTCTAATATAAATATAAATCATATTAAAAGTCCAGAGATAAAGTAGTATCACATACCATAACCTCATTAACTGAATCACTATTTGACATCCCATATTTCATGTATGCTGCCATCCACACCTGTGGCCGACTAGCAGGAACCCCATTGTTCTTTTTTGTCTCCTGTAAATGAAAGATGCTTAGGGTTTGAGAGCTTGGACAGAAAAGAATATATATATATATATATATATATGGCCAAAACGATGTTGTTTTGGTACAACAACAGGATGCACCACAGGATAGAAGACAGAGGATCCAGACTTGTCATGCACCAAGACTTAGAGTCTGACGGGCTGGGATCCTCTGTCCCTATCTCTATTCAGAAAAGTTATGTGAGGGAATTACTTCTCAGTGACAACAACAATTTTATGTTACAGATAAATGGAAAAAGATTGACAATTGTGGCAGGAGTGGAAAGTAGGAAATTTACTATCAATTCATAGTTTTCTGATGTTGAATCAACCATTTGCCCCTATACTCAACAACGATATTGTTTAAACAATGTCATTTTCTACTCTCAGCCCTAGCACTGTTGCACACTCCCAACATTAAAAAACTCTATTGCCATTTTCAATCTTTTCCACTAATACGTAACATAATCGACCGGACAAAGTACATGAGGATCAGTGGCGAACCTTGGTCTATTATTGGGGCACTCAGAGTGCATCGGTACTATTTTATTTATGTAAAAAAATGTTTATAAATGATAATTTTTGATAATATCTTAATGAATTTCATTTTTAATAGAAATCAAGTAAGAAGAATAGAAAAATTTGGAAGAAGAAGACATTACATCATAGAACAGGCCGAAAGCCTTTCTCAGTAGTTTGACTGGAGGTATAATTATTCTCTCAAAGTTTGCTGAATTCTATTTTGTCCTCCTCCAATATTCTAATACTTGAAGACAAATTATGAACACAATTTAGAGTTCACCATGCCAAGGCAAGTAATATAATATATATATATATATATATATATTGAATGACTTGCCTTGGCATGGTGAACTCTAAATTGTGTTCATAATTTGTCTTCAAGTATTAGAATATTGGAGGAGGACAAAATAGAATTCAGCAAACTTTGAGAGAATAATTATACCTCCAGTCAAACTACTGAGAAAGGCTTTCGGCCTGTTCTATGATGTAATGTCTTCTTCTTCCAGATTTTTCTATTATTCTTGCTTGATTTCTATCAAATATGAAATTTATTTAAGATGTTATAAAAAATTATCATATATAAACATTTTTTCACATAAATAAAATTGTACCGATGCACTTTGAGTGCCCTAATAGTAGACCAAAGCCCGCCACTGATCCTCATGTGGGACCCCTTGTCTACTTTTGTGTGGCTTGACTTGAGCTAGGACCTACAAAACAATAGTAGTAAGCTTCATGTCACATACCAAACGCAGCAAGAGTAGAGAAATGGTAGTAGTCCTTCTGATTTTAATTCATCAGTAGTAGCTTTGTTTTGTTTCTAGAACAGAGTCGCTAGAGTTTTGTTTCTTCATTTGGCAGAAAGTAACATGGTTTTCTTATCTTTGTTTAGTCTCTTCCATCGGTTGTATGTTTCTTCATATTGGTCTGTCATTCTTATCATAAAAAAATAGAGTTACTAATAAATTGCAACTAAAGTAACCCTACATGTCCATAAAGACAACAAAATTTACAAAAATAAAAATAGAATACATAGTTATATTTGTGAAGATGAAGTCACAAGAAAACTCATGATAGCTGCACATCTACAACCTCAAATGTGCAAATCATACCCTGGGGTGTTAAAATTAAGCAGGAACAAGCTGGCAATGTTTTACAATCAATTGAATAATTGAGTCTAGTCTTTGCCAAAATTCACCTTTAAAACACATTTCAAAACAATTCCATCTACAAAAGCAAAAGCAAAAGCAAAAAAATAAAAATAAGCAACACGGGATCGAAGTCATTTTTGCAACTAAACTAATAATAGAAGAAAGAAAACTGATTAGGTATTTGCAACAAGCATTTCTGTATAGAATATAAATTTAAACTTATAAGTAGCTTCTGCTAAGATAGGAATTAAACTAGGATAATTGAGTTGGTTCTTTTTAATCAATAGTTTAACCTTGTTGAATTGTCTTTGTAGTAGAGCCAATTATGGACTGGTTCGGAGCTAAAAGGCCATGCTAAGATTAGTTCACAGCATATTTTTGCTCCTAAAAGGGGAGGTGGTTTGGGGTTTAAATGTCTTATTGATTGGAACACAGCAACTATCCTAAAAAACATTTGGGCTCACTCACTCAGAATGACCAAGGCAAAAGCTCTGTATCTCATGAGCCCCATCTAAAGGCTTCTTTGGAAACAGGGTAACCTGTCACAAAATAACATTGTTGAAAACAAATTGAAATGAAATTTAATATTTAATAATTTATTTGTTTCAATGGGTAAGAATCATCAATTACATGAATTTTAAAATCTCGATCAACACTAATAATGAATCGTCCATCTGACGAGAATTCCTGCAAGAACATAAAATTGTTTAGAAAAAGCCCAGCTTACAAGTAAAGGTCATTCATGCATCCACACAAATGTAGCCCTAATTTCAAAGACTTTTATGTAATAACTCATAAGAATTTAACAATGTGTATAGGAGTAGAGAAAGAATACATATATATATATATAAACCTCAAAAACATTGGCAGGAAAAATTGTAGAAAAAAGATAATGATAAAATCTATTATGTCCAATTTATTCCTGTTATTCATGGGAAAATGGAGGGAATAACCAATGATTCACCAAAAATAAAAACTAAAAAATAAAACTTAGCAAAAATGTCTAGGACAATAAACTGAAACATCTGATCCACAACTTTTGAGTACAAATCTACATAACCAAGTCTTGCACGTATAATGAGAATCTAATTAAGTTTTGTTTTTGCCAATCAAAAAAACATAAAGTTTTGTTTTTTAAGCATTATAATTATGATATGGTTTTAGCTTTATAACTGACATGGAAAAAGATGAGTTGTTATACTAGAGGTCATCACAAAAGGCCATAAATACAATAGAGCAAGGACAAAGAGAAAAGATATCAAAGATAACAAATGACATACCAGGCTAGTAATGATGCTACAGTAGTAAGCAAGAATTGGCGCTGCCTTGTTACCGGCTAAAGCTTGATTTTCATGAAATCCATCCAAATCCACAAACCAAACAACTCCAAATTTGTCAGCAAAACAAACAAATAGACCATCATTGCTTATGGCAACTGCACTCACTCTCTTCTCTGATGACCTGTTACACTCGATTTGAAAAGGAAGAATATTAAGAAATGTCCGGCACAAATGAGGGAACTTAATGCTGAAACTTATACAATGCAGCAGGTAGGTAACAAATGCAGGCAGGTGGGTTCTAGCATGTAACAATATCACTTAGATACATTCAATCCCACCGGTAAAGATAGTTTTTGCCAAACATTCATGTATGTGCAAAAACTCTTAGGAAGTTGTACCATCCTCAGTAATGTTCTCATGAGAGAGAGGGAATGCCAAACATTATTGTTAGAAAGTGCATCATTACATTTATGTGCATTTGATAATATTCTGAAATAATAAATGTGGACTATGATATATAAAACAATGACAACTGGATGACACTGTTATGTACAACTTTCAATTACTGGCTTTGAGTTTCATTCAGAAAGTAGTATTTAGCATTTTACTGGCTGTTGAAGTTAAGCAAAGCAAAGGGGTCGTTATTCTGTTCATTGATGAGTTGCACACTCTAATTGATGAGTTGCACACTCTGCGATCAGAATATAACAGGGAATTTCTGCTTAATTTCTGCTTAATCTCCCATTTATCAGTCAAAGTTTTTACCCAAAAAAAAAATCAAAAGCAACAAAATACAGAAATGAAAATTAAATTCACATAAAAGAGAGAGATTTAGTAGAAGTTATGAAGATAAACCTCATCTTGACAATTATCAATAATCTTTTTGATCCTCAAGACCTCCCCAAAAACCTGACTCTCTTCTTCAATATCATCAGTCAATGCCTCAGCTTCTCCATAGATGTAATTGCTCACTTGGTTGATATTAAATAATAGTACTGAACTAGAAAGCAACAAAAATGCATTGAAAGGCCTTCAATGGCTACTCTACAAAACACATTCGGTTCAACAGAGATGGAGACTTGAATGTAAGCAAATGGTTGTTCTTAATATCTGAATTCTTATAGAAATTCAACAGACAAAATTGATCTTTCATCATTCAACTCTACCCTACCAATTCAGTTTGAAAGTTTATTGCATTTAACCTAAAAGGAGAATTTCTTAATATGAATGAAAACATTACAACACTACTATTATTACTATCCCTATTGGTCCATTCAGATGCCAAAGAGAATCACAATATACTATCAATTAGATCATCTATTATGAATGATCAGAATAAAAAAATCACCAAAGAGATAGAGGCATTGCTTAGCATTTAGCAACCAATATGAAAAATATATTTGAGTCAGCGGTTAGTAGTATTAACCAAATTGATGAATTATGTGAAAGTTAATAAGCAAGCTACAGGATTGATCTCTTGTTCTAATTGTTGCAACCTCTAAAATCATTGTACTTTTAATTGTGATTTTGGAGTGATATTGTCTATCAATTTAACACAATAATTTGCATTGCCAAAACCAAGAAATCATTAAGGTATTAACGATGAAAGGAAAGCAAATGCAGGCCAAATTAGCCCGAAAACATGCTTCACAAGATGAATACAAGGTTTAGGAAAGCAGCCACCATCATACCTACCTTCATTTTGAAAACATCATCTTTGATATTCTTTTGAAGCTCCAAGCACTGCTCATTAATCCGAGTGGAGTTCCCAAGCTTCAAAACCTCTAGAACAAAATTTCAATATCAAAATTTTAATATCAGAACTCCTGAAACAAAATTTCAATATCAGAACCTCTGGAATTTACCTCATCTCCCATTTCCCGTAGATATCTAACAAAATTCTAGAACCGATTTTTATACCCGGACACGTAACTGCAAATTCAATAGAAAGCAGGAGAGAGGTTAATGAAACCAAGTCAGGCTATAGAAAACCTATCAGAGTTATAGTTGATGTTAGAACTCCACACATCAAACAACAGCTAAGTTAGAAAGCTAACTAAGTCACGTACATGACTACAATTTACTGTTAAATGACCTTAAGCTACCAATGTAATTGGAGAAACAAACAAATTATAACTAAACCCCATACTAGAGCACATTGCCAGACTTTCATTATAAGAAACAAATCCAATTTAAGCAATCCTAATCTATAGAACCCACCAAGATTTTTGCACAAAATGTTACAAACTTTACAGCTTTATTCCAAATCTAATCCACACCATAGATTCAACTTTGGATTAACAAAACAGTACATACACAAAGATTCTTGTATAAACTAATCCAGAAGTAGAATTAGATACTCACGCAAAGGGAGAGGGCTCAACAAAGAGAGCAATTCAGCGAGGCTTGGAAATAACTTCTGAGGAAATATTATCAACTTCTTCCTGGAAAATGTTTTTAAAGGCCCAATCACTTCAGTATCAGAATCTCCTTGTTAAGAATAATATTGTAATACTGAACATCTATACTGTTAGATTTCTAGTCAATCATATCTTCATAGAAAAAAAAAATGCTAAGCACGTAGAGGTGATAAATAAGGAGTTTGAGTAAATAAAAACTTTACATATCAGACAGTTAGAAAAAATGTAACTAAGATTTCAGGTAAGCTAAACAGTGACATAGTGGGGCAAAAAAAAATGAAGAAACCAAACATTTATATACACACACACACACAACACAAATTAGCAATAGATCTCAATAACCAAATCGGGAGAGACAGGAAGGAAGAGCTTAAGAGAGAGAGAGAAAGAAATCAATACCTCGCAGTGAAGCTTCGAAATTGAGAGAGAGAGTGCTTCGAAATCGAGAGAGAGTATACTTCAAAATCGAAATCGCTCTGAGACCGATCTGAGAAATCAAGCACAGCCTCTCCTGAGATCATTTCCTCTGCGATCAAAACCAACCCCTCTTCTCTCTTCGCAATCTCCCAGAGCTTCAGATCGATATCGCAGAGAACAAAGGATGAATCGAGAGAGAGAGAGACAGTGGAGCTTCAAAGCTTCAAATCGAAATCGCTCTGACGAAATCGCTCTTAATCAAAATCGCTCTCAAGGGTTTAGAAGCAAATGGGGGTGAGCAAGAGAGAGGCGTGAGGATTGTGACGGCATGAGGATTCAGAATAGGGGTTTACAAAGCTTTAACAAGTATTTTCAGATTTAAAATAGGCGCGTGAGGCACAACGTATTTGGAGGCGTTTAACGCCTCCTATTGCAAAACGGTACCGTTTTATTAAAGGAGTATGCAACGTTTTTATAAAACGTCATTAAATATTAATAAACGTGGCATTTAAAAAAACACCGTTTAAACCCATTTTTCTTGTAGTGTACCAACAAAATGTGAATGCAAATAACCAGAAAGATTCAAACAATTTCATGTATTTTTTTTATTAATTTTACATCATGACAGAATGAAAGTTTTACAGCCTATAAACGTAAATGCATCGTACTTACATTACAAACAAATACTTTTTCTACAACATTTATGTTACAAACATCTTCTTGGAACTTGGATGGAAATATGAAATTCCAGAAACATACACAGATCATATTCCCAACACTGAAGGGAAAAAAAAAAAAAGAAAAAAAAAAAGGTACTTACAAGACCCTTTTTGGTTTATACATTTTGGCTCAAAAGACAAAAACCACCAAGTTTACTACGCTGAGTGCAGCCACAAGCCAGAAGAAATAATCGAGATGGCCCTCATTCAAGTTATCCGGTATCCATCCAGCCTTCCCACCCTTGGTTGTTATAGATGTCACTACAGTAAGAATAAAAGAGCTCAAGTAGCTTCCCATGGAAGTCGTCAAAAGGGACAATGCAGCAAACAAGCTACGCATGCCGTCCGGTGACTGCTCGTAAAAGAACTCAAGCTGCCCTATGAATGTAAATACTTCTGCAGCACCAAACAAAAAATATTGGGGTATTTGCCACGTGATATTAAGTGGTATTGGAACGTTTTCATCAACCAAACCAAGGGCTTGTGCAAGTGCCAATCTCTTCATCTCCACCAAAGCAGCAGATACCATACATAGTACTGAAATAAAGAGGCCAATTCCCATACGTTGCAACTCTGTAAAGCCTTTCTCTCTGCCAGTAAACTTCCTCGCAATAGGGACGATAACCCTATCGTAAACAGGGACCCAGAAAATAACGCTTATGATGTCACATGCTGAAAGAGAGGCTGCAGGAATGGAGAAGGAACCAATGGTCCTGTCCATCATCATCCCTTGCTCAACAAACAATGTACCCAATTGTGCATAAACAGCACATATGATGATTCCAGTAGCCCAAATTGGAAACATGCGAATCAATATTTTTAGCTCCTCCACCTGCGTTACGGTGCAAAGCCTCCATGGATTGGAGAAGTCCCCATTTTTGTTCTCAATGTCTGTAATTACCGCAGCTTTGTCAAGGCACCTACAGAAGGGATAATAGTTTTACTGAAGTTATGACATAATTTGTTGTGAATAATCTGGGAAACAAATGGGTGAGAATTAATCAAGTATACAAACTATCATAAAGTAAAAGTATTGTAGAAGTCTAAAAAAAAGATGAAAGTACAAGAGATAATTAAAAGTATTCAGATAGTTCATAATTTCATACATAACAAGTCATTTTTTGCCAAGAGAAAACATATCATACAAAGCATGATTAGAAATAAAATAAAAATAAGACAAATGCAGTGGTGAACTCTCATTTTACTGTGTTGAGGAGTCCAAGTACCAACCCCTCCCCAAACCCAACAGAAGGATCAAATTCTCATTTTGGGGTGTGGTTTTGGTCTACTAGGAAATGGACATGTTGCCGGAAGGAAAAAGAAACATTGGAACTTGGGTTTTACACTATTGTTTCATGCATGTTTCCAATCAAACAGACAAATGAACAGTTATTTCTAGAAAAATCAGACAGATTCCCTCCCACTAAACCTGTCACTAGTAGTCTCCTTAAAGAAAATCATTAGGATGATACAATTGCCA